TGATCCGACGTCGTTCACAAACTATTCATGTACAAATGAGTAATTAAAGAGAAATTAATTTGTGTACACAAAAAATTTATTCATAAGCACTAATTATTCATTTGAGAGCCTAAAAGAGTAAAATCACTATTAGTTATTGATTTCTTCTTATAATTAAATTAAATTACAGCTCTTATGCACACGCAGAAGACGCTGCAGCTTCCAGACATGAGGAATACATATTAGAGCGAAGTCTTTGGTGGTGCAAAACATTTCCTGTATCAGACAGAGAAGCTGTTCACAGGTGCACACACACACACACACACACACACACACACACACACACTCTCTCTCTCTGATAGCATCACAACAGCAGCTAACCCACTTTGTGCAGCGCAGTGATATGTCCCCTGGAACAGAACACTGTGTTCACTATGTGATCACTGTTTACTGAAACACAGACATGCTCAGTACGTTCCTCCTCACAACAGGTGGACGAAGCATTTCACTTCGCAGCGCACTGTAAATGTCACCATTAAAGTATTAAATAAAATATTACTACACTTTTTTCTAGTATAATCAGCTAAATGTACTAAAGTACTTAAATGATTATGCGTTCATGTAGTATATGGTGGAGGTGAAACTAATTTAAACTATTATTTTACAGCTCATTACAGATCAAAAATCTACATCTAAAATAGAAGTGCATACATACAGTAATAGTGTATGTTGTGTGTAGTGTCACTGTGGAGGTGGAGGTTTTTGTGTTTTTATGAGCTGGAAGCCATTTTGGTTTTATTTGGTGCAAAGTGACTCACATTCCTGCTGATCGGCACTGAGTGTAACATATCAATGCGACGAATGTGCAACATATTGAGACGTTTGGAAGCACTTCTCGGTTAACGACAGGTTGTGATAGGCTGAGACTGAGATGTTCTGACTCATTCATATTACCCCTGTTTGATCCCGAATGTTGAGATCTTGTGACGAATATTAATTAATATTTACGATGTTTTATGGTGCTGTAATTTATTGTATTTTGTCTGCAGCCCTGCTGGCTGTGCTGCCGCCTGTCTTGGCCAGGACACACTTGTCTCAGTGAGACAGATGGCAGATGAAGACAGTGTTGTTCATCAAGAAATAGTTCCAGCATGTAAGTTCCCATGACACCATACTGTCATTTGCCCTTTTCTGTCTGTGTGCAGTTTAAACAGACTCAGCATGTCAGTCGGAGAGCCTAAGAGCTGCTCGTAGGTTTATTTTAGAGCTTCACACAAAGCCAGGCTAACTGTTTCCCCCTGTTTCTAGTCTTTATGCTAAGCTAGACTAACCACGTCCTGACTCCAGCTCGTGAGATCCGTCTGAACATCTGACAGAAAGGGAAGAAGCATCTTGTCTGAGTATCACCTGATGAGTGTGGAGGGGAAAGAAATATTCAGGTTGTTGTGTCAGGGCTGCAGTCTGCCTCCTGTTCCTCTCTCTACTCTTTGTGCTGGTCGATCAGTCATTCTGGTGAGAACAACAGTCCTGGTCTACAGCCAGCTCCTGGAGGCGTTCTCCTGTATTTTAAACACATGCAGCCCTGATGGCTCACCTTGTTTAGGCATGTGAGCTCTCATATCTCACATCTCTGTGAAGATGGAACGACTTTCACCGTGTATTATGTTAGCAGCTATCTCTGTCACATCAGATACGTCTTTGAGGCAGTAGGGAAGCATGCATCTATACAGTAAACCATATGCAGATGAAACACCCACTGCTTGTGGCTTCTCACTGTCACTTCTCATTCTTCCTTCTCCAGAGTTCCTTTTATGACCGTGAGGAGAGTTTTAGTCACACACACACTCTTTGATGATGATATTTGGTCTGCTTTCTGTGAGTCAACATCTGCGGCCACACTACAGATGCTTCCTACTGGTACTACTATCACAGTGTGGGTTTATTACTCACATACTCCCATTTCTCAAATCACACATCCCAATCACATAGATACTCTGAAATTGACATTACTGTTGCATCACATTTGCTGTAGTTTAACACAATAATATGAGCATTATACACACATACTCTCTAGATTTCTACATGTGAGTGACACTGAGATAAATAAAAGAAAGAAAGAAAGTGTTGAAGCTTATTATGTCTTTTATTTTATACCCCTTTGCATATTATCTCATATCTTATTATTATTATTATCAGACTCCAGTTTTATTATTCTTACTCTACACAAACTTGATGAACATGTATAATAATAATATATTAGTATATTGGCATTAAATTTTTTAAACCCAAACTGAATTGAATAAACGCCTGTTTCCATCTGGAACCCCGGACCTGGTGCAGTATGTTATAAATACACCTGAATAATAACATCAGACGTTAGCTGTGACGTTTCTATGATCTGTGATGTTACACAGCAGAACTTGAGCTGACTCGTTATCTCCACATCTTAATGATCTCTACATTTTGGGGGAACAGGTTTCTGTACGTCATGTCTGTCGGAGTGGGTTTCATCGTGCCTCTCAGCAGATTGAAATGACAGGAGGAAAAGGAAGTAGGCCTACACAGAATATTACTGTCACGACACTGTGACTTCTCTGTAAAGAGATCGTGAGATAGCGCCAATGTCCTCCTGAGAGCATTAGATCATTAGCTTTAGAGAAACACTGACGCCACAACGACACGATCATGATGCTCTGAAAAATCAGCTGCTGCTGTGTTTCTGTCTCCTTTCCTCTCCTGTTGCTCAAAGCATTTGACTAAAAACCTCTTAACTCAAGGTCCACTTGGCCTTTCCTGAGTTTTCAGCTGCAGCGTACAGCTGTCCGCAGCAGAGGAAGAACACAGGACATGGACCTCTCTAAGGTCAAAAAAGACGCATTTCCTGCATCCTTCACATGACCTTCAACAGCCCCGTTGAAAACAAAGCTTTCAAAATATTTTCATTTAAACTATAAATAAACTTTGCTGTCTACTTGAATATTTGATGACCATTAAAGCTTCTTCTTGGATCTTCAAACTCTCCCTAACAAGAATATCTGAACCACCTTTCATCACAATCCATCCAGGGCAGATAGAGATTCAGGCAGAGAGGCAGACGGGCACGGGTGCAGAAATGTGACATCACACATTTGTTGTTGACCAGGTCTAAATATTAGCAGATTTGTGCTAAATGCTTTGGAGTGGAGTTTTTCAGTGGGGTTTTATTTTATTTGGTGAGCTACAACAAAATGTTCAGAAGGTCAAGGAAACAAAAAACCATAAAGTTTCTTGTTTCCTCGTTAGGTTTCTACAGACGAAACAGGACGCTCGCTTGTTAAAGAGAACTGAGACTAAACAAACCTTCTATATATACAAAGTATCCTTTACTAAAACACTGTCATGCACACTCTGGACTCACAGCCTGACCTGTAGGACATGTTCCTGCCCCCAGCCAGACAAACCTGGTGGAGATCAGAGATCCACTCAGTGCTCTCTCCTTCTTGCTTTTATATTTGTTTATCTTCCCTTTTCATCTGGTTGACACACAGCTTGTGGTTTCCAACAAGAGCAGTGAATAATAACTGAACTTCTAATATAACAAAGCGCAGAGGGAAAGTCACTTGTTATGGAGGAAATGCTTGTTGCGGGTTGTGTTTGTTCCAGAGCTGGAGGTAAATGTCTCACTGCAGACCCACTTCCTGCTGGCTGCAGCTTTCAGAAAAGCTTCCACACACACATCAAGCACAGGAATACCAGTTTCTACACAGCAACATGTCACTCAGGCTGCAGAGAGGTGAACAGCACAGAGAAGCAGAAAGGAAAAGAAAAACAAAGCGTTCCCACTAGCATGACATGTGGCGCTCTGCACCAACAACACTGTCTCTACGGGGGGTGGGGGGGGGCTTTATGCTAAGCTAGGCTAAAGACACGCTGGACCTGTGTTTGTGCAGGACACAGTTACGACAGCAATATCAGCTCCTTCCATTTATTCTGATAGCATGATCTGTTCCATGTGTTATATTAAATTTGGCCTAATTTTCTGCATGTTCTTATCTTTTCACCGTCTGCAGCAAAGCTTTTAGTTTAATATGAAATACAGAGGATATGATGGAAATGAACATTTATTTTAATGTTGGACAGCAAAAGAACAAAGTTCATCTCCTATCCTCATATTTCAAACAAAGCGGGTCTACCTGCGACCCTCCCACCACCAGAGTGTTTTCTGTCTTGTTTCATTTGAATTATGTTTAGACAGTTATTCAGTACTGGCGACCTGTCCAGGGTGTATCCTGCCTCTTGCCCAATGTAAGCTGGGATTGGCTCCAGCCCCCCGCGACCCTGTACACAGGATAAGCGGTTGACGATGGATGGATGGATGGAGTTATTCAGTGTCAGAATCCTGTGAATATTTTTTATACCGGTTCAGAATTGTATTTAATATTATACTTTAAAGCTGAGACGTCACAGACAGATTTACATTTGAAGAGCTGATGATGCCGACAGTCAGATAAGATGTAAAAATGTATTGTCTGTATTTAAATATATTAAATATGAACATTATCTGTGAAACATAAAATCTGAAATTATTGAGGAGGAAGCTTTAAACCCACACAGAATAATGTAGAATAATAGTCAGACGCACAGATTCAGCCGAACCTTCCTGAGAGCTTCACGATCATTCGAGAGATTCTCAGAAGGTATTTTGCAGACGAATAAAACAACTTTACCTTCAACGTGCTGAGCATCTGGATCAACTTTAGAACTGTTTATTTAAGAAGAGCTGCATGTAATCATTTTGAGTGTGAAACTCTTTCAGAGTCTCTGCTGACTTATTTTAAATCTGCAGCTTTCACCATCTGACAATGCACAAGATCATGATTAACAATAAAAATATTATCAAAAATGTTTTAGTTCCTCCAACAAGTCTGCTGTGTTTTTCACTCTCAAAGCGTTTGTGGACACGGACTGAGCGTGTGCGGTAACCCTATAACCAGCGTGTTCTCCTGCAACAATTCAGTTTTGGTGTAAATTTGTTTGCTTACCGTTTCTCCTCCGTGCAGAACCTCCCGCTTGCTTCTGTCTGCTTTTCTCAGGTTCTTCGAGGGAGAGACTTTGAAAAGGTTCAAAGGGTGAGTTATTCCACAGGAAATCTGCTTTTCTGCAAGTAAAACTTTAAGAAAAAGCACGACAGCCCTCAGACTGAGGAAGACCTCAGACTGTGTGATTTAGGTTGGAAACACAAGAAAAAAGGAGAAAACTAGAGCAGGTGTGCTCTAGATCCAAACATTTATCTAGTTTCCTTCATTCTTCTCTCATAAATGATTTGCAGTAGAAGCAGGATAAATAATTCGTCCTGGAAATAACAGAGTTTCAGACAGTGCAGGTTGCACAAAGTAGTCTCACAGAACTGAGTCACACGTGCACTTGTGGAAAGTTTGCATTTATATTTATATTTTTAGTTCAGCTGTTTGAAAGAAAAACTTATTCAATCTAAATATCAAATGATTTTATAAAAACAACTGTGTTGACATTACAAAGGTAAAGACTCACCTGACAGTCTCAGAGGAAGAGGCCACATTAAGGCGCCAGATATCCTCTCACACATTTATACCAACACCCCCCACAGCAGGAGAGGCAGAAAGGTAAAGTCCTCAGCAAATCACAACACAACAAGAAACTGCAACGACTTTTATACTTTCCAAAATATGTTTGTTGGAAAGTAAGCACTTTTATTCTCAAGCAAAAATAGCAAAGGCAAAGTTCATCCAGGCTTGGGAAAATAACGTCTGTTTCCACCTGAACACGGCCTGCTTCTGTCCAAATGCTCTTCACTGCCGGCAAAGATGAGCTTTCAGTGAGCAGCTGGTTTTATTAGATCAAAGCAGCTGCAGCATCTTTCTTTCTGTTCTCTGCTGCTAATAACACACATGACTTTCTCTCCATCTGAACCATTTGGACCAATGGATCCTCATGTTCTGTGTGACTGTTACTAAAGACAGTTTCTGCTGATGCCTTGATGGTGGAGCTGCTCCCTAATATAATCCTCAGTGTGAAGGCTCTCTGAGCTGGACACGTAATTACAGAATCATAGATATCTCAGAGGAGGGAAGGTGTGTGCCATTGAGGCTCTTTGGGTTTTTTGATATATTGCTGCCTGAGATGTGTTCACACGCAACATGTTTAAACGCAATAAGATATATAATAAGATATCTTAAACAAGATAAGATGATGCTCTATTGATCCTTGGGGGGAAAACCAGGTGCTGCAGCAGCTCACGGACTGAAATACCTTAAGATATATAGAGGAAGAAAATGTGTTTTAACTATATGAAATAAGAATAGAAATAAAACTACAAGGCAACTTCCTGTCCGCATCACCCCTTGTGTGTCCAACAGTTTCCTGAACTCTGCTGTTTTCATCCTGTTTTCTGTCAGTTACTATCATCAGACTGAATATTTCTCATTAGTGAGGGCTCAGTAAGTCAGGAGCAGCAGCTGTCCTGTGTTCCTGCAAGTTTAATAGACTTGCTTCTGAGTTCCTGACAGCGCTGAAGTGTCGAAGAATTTTAAACAGACGGCATCAATTTAAGAGCTCATCAATTTAACTCTTTGGGTGCTTAAAATATTCTAACTGTCAAACACAAGTGAAACACCACGAGCTTCCACGTCGCGGATGGCCAGCACTGAAAGTCTCTGTGTGTTCTCGTGTGAATATCAACAGTGTGAGAAAAGCTTTGATGACTGTACTTTCTGATCCCACAGCGTGGCCGAGCACAGGACGGCGGGCTGTGATTCTTGCTGACAGGCTTCTGGGAGATGTGTACTGTACGTGTGCTGCAAACGATGACGTGCGTCAGAGTGAGAATTATTTTGTCAATATGATTCACTCCTTCCTCACAAAGGTGTTGGATATGAGGGCTTACTCAGCTGATTTCATTAGGTGTCACACTCAGCAGTGCTGCTGACTTTTTATAGAGAACATTTCAGAGAACCCAGGCTCAGCGCTCTCTTTATGTAAATTCCACCTGTGGTTTAAACCTTTTACTCTCTTCAACCGAATGTGTGAATCAAAAAGTCTGTGCTCACTACAGGTCCTTTCTCTTTCTCTTCCACTGGACATGAGATCTTAACACTCAGTGTCCTCTTTATTAGGAACACCCAGCTCCTGTTCAGGCTGTGCTGAAGCTGTTTCAGAGACGTGCGGGTGGACTGCAGAGGATGCACTTCACGTCTGCCTTTAACGTCTGCAGGACCAGAAACGCTGACCAGACAAAGCCTTCCAGTCTCTGAACCAGAAGCTGTTCAGTATTTAAACTTTCAGGGATAAAGCTCATGTGAACCTCGGCAGAAACTGCAGACAGAGATATGTTCCTCACATCAGAATGTTTGTGTAAATGAAGGTTAGAATGAAGTTTTCCTTTCAGGGCCTGTCTGATCACTTTTGTTTGAAACTCCCCAGAATATTATTTCCTGGTGTCAGACTGATTGTTCTGCGTAAACTCGTCATTTTCAGTATCAACAACCTCAAATGGTACACCAATACATGGTGAAGAGGAAGCATTAAGAGCAGTAAGCGGGGGGAAAGCCCAGTAACCTGCTGTATGACATTCTGACAGGTGTAAACAGCCTGTTTTTTGTGTCGTCAAAGGTCATCTCACCTAACAGCAGCCTGAGGCACAGCGGAAGCCTGAGGCCTTGATTTCCTTCTGAAAGTTCTGCCGTTATTATTAACCTTATTAGGTAACCTGTGTTTTCAGGACGGAGTCAGGTGGGCGCTGCACTGCTTTCTTTCTGTGTGGCAGATGATGAGATGCAGGTTAAAACTCAGAGGACCTGAAGGAGGCACGTGCTCTCTGGTTAGGTTTTAAAATGTGCTTTGGCTCAGTTTCAGTATGCAAACTGACTTTCTTCCCTCAAACACAACACATGCTCAGCCTCACCAGAGCTAACTCACGTACTGCACTGAAGGAGAGTATTTCCATCTCATGCTACTTTGTACTTCTAGAAAAGGGGGAAATACTGTAATACTGTATTTAGTTACTTTAAAACATGGGATCACTGTCTTTTAGGTTTAAAATGTATTTCATGTTTTAAATGAGCTTCACCTCACTAGCTAAAACATTAAAGTGTTGATGCATGAACAGTAACAGTCTGAGCTCATCCTGACAGAGAAATACTTTCAGTACACTGATGATGAAAAATTAGAGTACCTTTTTAATTTAATGCTGACTTTGTCTAAAATGCCTGGAAAAGAAGTCAGTTTGTTTAATTAGATTTTATTGTGTGTATATTTATATTATTATTTTTACTCTTCTTGATATCCTTTCTGAGTTGTTTGACACGGTATAGGTTTTACTCTGGGCCTGGCTATAGTGAATTCTGTGTAAGCCCATGCAGGCTGTGTGTGATAATACACAATAATAAAAGTTTATTTATTCATTTACTATAATACATTTGTACTTTTACCTTAGTGACATTTTGCATGCAGGACTTGTCTGCGGTGTGATGTCACTGCTTGTACGAGTAAATGATTTGAATACTGAAGCGTCTCAGTGCTGAACAGACGTTTCAATGATGACACAGTTCACACAGTCAGATGTGAGAAACAGCTAAATATCTGATTACTGTAGCTTTCTGTCCACATCACACCTGCTGGGATCTATCGCCATGCTAACCAGGAGTCCAGTGTGTCACCTGGACATCCCATCACTGCCGCCTTTTCCCCAGGAAGTCAGCCGGCGTGGCTGACTTCCGGCTTTCTTCTTCTGCATGTTTCCACACAGTCAGCGTGCTGCAGGACTCAGTGTCGACACGTCTGTGACACCAGGTTTCAGTGTTTCAGAGGATTGTGTGAAAAGATAAGTGTGTGAGAAGAACCGGATTGATCCCAAGTTCCAGTAAGTCATGTGCTGACGTTTGAGAAATATATTATTTATTCTCTATACTCTTTTCATAACAGCCTTTCTCACCACTGAGCTCACTTTCTCTAAACACAGCACGAGTCGACGAAACTGTGGCCACGACTGCTCACTGCACTAAACCCCTGTGTGTTTACACTCCATTTTACAGGTGAGGAGACGGGAGCTGGGGGGTGGGGTGGGGCGGGGGCGGCAGGTGAGGAGAGGAGGTCAAGTCAGGGGGGAGGGATAGGTGAGGAGATGATGGCAGGTGGGGAGAAGGGCAAGTCAGGGGAGAGGGATAGGTGAGGAGAGAAGTGCAGATGAGGAGAGAAGTGCAGGTGGGGAGAGAAGTGCAGGTGGGGAGAGAAGTGCAGATGAGGAGAGAAGTGCAGGTGGGGAGAGAAGTGCAGATGAGGAGAGAAGTGCAGGTGGGGAGAGAAGTGCAGATGAGGAGAGAAGTGCAGGTGGGGAGAGAAGTGCAGATGAGGAGAGAAGTGCAGGTGGGGAGAGAAGTGCAGGTGGGGAGAGAAGTGCAGGTGGGGAGAGAAGTGCAGGTGGGGAGAGAAGTGCAGGTGGGGAGAGAAGTGCAGATGAGGAGAGAAGTGCAGGTGAGGAGAGAAGTGCAGGTGGGGAGAGAAGTGCAGGTGAGGAGAGAAGTGCAGGTGAGGAGAGAAGTGCAGGTGGGGAGAGAAGTGCAGATGAGGAGAGAAGTGCAGGTGGGGAGAGAAGTGCAGGTGGGGAGAGAAGTGCAGATGAGGAGAGAAGTGCAGGTGGGGAGAGAAGTGCAGGTGGGGAGAGAAGTGCAGGTGGGGAGAGAAGTGCAGGTGAGGAGAGAAGTGCAGGTGAGGAGAGAAGTGCAGGTGGGGAGAGGATCATGATATTCTCTCTAACTTCAGTCCTATTTCCAAACTACCCTTTCTCTCAAAAGTGTTGGATAAAATAGTCCTGACCCAACTACAAACATTCCTCGACAACCATAGTATCCAGGAGAAGTTTCAGTCTGGCTTTAAACCACATCATAGTGCAGAAACAGCACTTTTAAGGGTTTTAATGATCTCCTTTTAACGGTGGATTCAGGTAACTCTGCTGTTCTGGTGCTTCTAGACCTGACTGCCTTTGATGCTGCATTCAGACCAAACGCGAATGTAATCCACGCAACGCTCTCCTCGCGGGAGTTTTATCGCTGGACAACTGCTGAGTGTTCACACAATTCAGTTAAATTCAATTCAGTTTTATTTATATAGCGCCAAATCACAACAACAGTTATCTCACAGCGCTTTTCATAAAAGAGCAGGTCTAGACCTTACTCTATGATGATATTTACAGAAGCCCAACAGTTCCCACCAAGAGCAGCACTAGGAGACAGAGGCAAGGAAAAACTTCCTTTTAAGAGGCAGAAACCTCGAGCAGAACCATGGCTCAGGGTGGGCGGCCATCTGCCTCGACCGGTTGGGGTGAGAGAGAGAGAGAGAGAGAGAGAGAGAGAGAGAGAGAGCCTACACAATATACACACAGAGGTACAGACAGTGAAGGTGATGTTGCTATAGACTAAATGAAAAATGGTACAGATATTTATAGTACTGTTAATGATAACAGTCGTAATGTTAATGATTATAATAATAATAACAACAGGACTAGTAACAATAGTTGTTGCAGCAGAGGGTGTCGAGCAGGAACACGGGGGCAGCAGGTGACCCGCAGCCACAGATCCAGACTCCACAGCTCCAGAGCCAGAAAACCTGCAGGAAGTGATAGGAGGAGAGAGGAGAGGGAC